TTAATGATTAATTAGATGGAACATTGTGGGTGTGGTGTATGAATGTTAACACTTTGTAATAATTCTTTAGTATATTACTTGTGTGGTGTAGAAGAGAATTATCTATGTAGAGATACTGCTTGCAAACCAATGATGGTAAGATGATGTCATGGGGTAGGACTGGATAAGTCTGACTTCTTCCTACTCCATTCAAGTATGTACTAGGTATAAGCAAATTGATATTGGATTAGCATTTGTTGGATATGTGTAAAAATATGTGTGTTGATATATCAACTGTCTTTACATGCTTGAAAGAATAAAGAAAAACCATCCCTGAAACATATCCTCAAACAAGCAAAGAGCAGATATTTGATGATTTGACATCTACTGTATATTTTGCATTGTATATGCTCAAGTTATTTGGTGGCTGGCCCAACTGGCTTGGCAGGCACAAATCTGAGAGCTAGCCCAGACCCACTCAACTGTCCAATCACCATCACCTTTCTTCCAAGATTGTCAATCAGAAGAAACACATACCACATAATCACATGAATACAGATCATATTACACAAATGACAAGAAAGTCAAGTTAGCGAACAGTGGAGTTTCCCCATGGTGGCTTTCCTGTTTTCTGACTTTCATCACTTTAGTGGAACTTCTAAGTAAAATATCTAACTCTCAGACACAGAACCAGGAGAAGCCTACACATAATAATCAATAACCAAACAAAGCTTTTGTACATTTTTGCTTGTGTTGATTCTGTTTTATCTTGCTGTGTTCCATAATAAATTCATTTAAAAGAATAAACCAGTGATTGCTAAACCAGACAACTAGCCAGAGATAAAGTTAATATTCAATGCATTTCTACTATAAACTACAGATTTTATTGCTGTTATAATACTCAGATTGTAAACTTTTACAGGCTAAGGCTATATTAACACTGACATTTGCTCTGCATGAAGAAAGCATGCATTCCTATTTAACATGAATGCCATACATCTGCTGTTTACCTCAAGATGGTCACAGCATAAGATAAAATAATCTTTTGAGAGCTGTAAAATCTTGTATTTGAGTATTACAAACCTTACCCTGTGCTGTGTTTTGGCATGTTTAAAAAGCATGCCAATGTTTTTTAATGTAGCAATGTTTAAAAAAAAAACAAGGTTATTTATAACATTTACCTTTATTCTGAACATTGGTCTATCACCATTTGGGTAAGAAAACATTCAGTCAACTGAAAAAAAACAACTAATTTTTGCAAGTTGTGACTGTTTCAGAATCAAAACAAAGATGACAGAGCACTGACTACCTATAGGAATCAGATCACAACTTGGCAAACAGGTAAATATATATACTTTTTTCATCTTGAAGTAGACCAAAGATTTTCCTAGATGGTTAAAAACATTTTGGAGATTCTGAAAATATAGTCAAAATAATGGTATTTTTATGAGGCTTATCACCAGTTATCTAACTTTTAGAGAAACCAATGGTCACCTCTGTCACCCTAAAGTAAGGCTAATGAGGGGGGGCAAACAGGAACTAGTTTCAAATATGCAACAGTCTCACTAAGTGGTATGACGGAAACATTAACACAAATAAATGACAAACAATTAAAAAGACACTGAATTATTTGCTTCCACTGCCAGCAACATATTTACAGAAAGACATTTAGAGATACCTATATTCTTTTTGTGTTTAATACCTACATCTCCTCAATACAAAGCAGAACCAACTCACTCTTACCAGGCTTCTTTTCACTTATAAGCTTCATAGTAAGGAAAACTGTCAGCTCACGGGTGCATACAAAAACGGCACTAAACAGGCTTGTCAGAAAAAGCTTAGAAAGCATCAGTCACTCTTGGTTATTCAAAGAAACTTCACAGAACGAATAAAACGACACTTTCCTACATTCTTCGCTAAAACTGCGAAGTTTTCCTGGATGTTCTTCGCCCGCATCTTCCGAAATACTCCGCAAATAGAGGACGAGGGTCCCGTCCCATTCACCCTGCCTTCTGGAGACAAGAGTCGTGTTCTGATTGGCTGAGCCAAGCCAAGCCCACTTATCAGGAGCTTTTTCACCACCGGGAACCGACCAATCACAGCACAGAAAACGCCACCGATGGCTCATAAAAACAAAAGGTCCCACCTGACAGCGGCAGGCTTCTTCGTCTGACAAATCAGCCGGGACTCTGACAATCTTATCTTATCTGATCAAAAACAAGACAGCTGAATGAATAAGACTGTGATCTAAAACACAACGTAATCACAAAACTATAACAGCTGCACTGAAAGGAGAATACGCGCTGGGTGTCAGAGGTTCCCGCTCTCATTTCAACACAGCGTGGTTGTGCAAACCCCAGGCTGTATCGGTATTGCACAGTAGAAGGTTGCAGTCACCCGGTTTCACACAAACACACCACTATTTTCATGATCGGAAAACATAAACTTGATTATTTTTCCCCAAGATGGCTGACACTTACGGGGTCTGTTCCGTCTCATCGACTCCGTCCTCCTCCGTATCCTGCACCTCTTGGCCGGTGACCCGTTGCACTCTGCGTTGTCTCCGCGGTGCAGATGATGCACGGTCTCCAACGCGCTGCTGCTGTTGGCTCCCGTGCCCGAGCAGTATGCATTAACGTTGCCGTTGGCAGCCAGCACGACGTGGCTGTGAAACCCCCTCTGGCTCTGCCCGTTGTTGACGTGAAAGGGTCCCGACGCTCCTTTCTTGTCCACCATTGAGTTGGCTTTATCCATGACAACAGCTAGCCTAGCCTAGCTTAGCATCTGCAAGAGACAAATTGTACAAACCTGGCCCCAGCAATGATCAACCAGGCTACTTTAGCTTAGCTAGCTAATGCTAACCGCTTGCAAGCTAGTGAGACAGTCGAGCGATCAACAGTAGACAGTGGTCGTTTTCCTAATATAACACTGTTTTACCATAAAATATAAAACTAAAATTTGTCGTACATTCTTGCTTTAATGCAGTACAGAATTAACACGAGAACAGCGCTAAAATTGAGTATTTCTTTGAGGTCACTCGCGGTCATTTCCACACATTGAGATCCTGCCAGGCGCAGCAGCAGCCTGTCGGTCTGTTGGTGGACTGCTACGTCACACCAGCTCCTCCGACCGGTTTGTTCCTGGATCTCAAAATGACACTGTAACCCTACACTGTAACGCGAACGGGTGCAAGAATGGACTCGTCCTGTGTCGCAATAAGCTATAACAATGACATTCTCCCGGAGAAGCCTACTGAACAAAGTCTACCATGTGCAAACACAGTGGTCTACCAGTGCGAGCAGCTGTGGGTGCTGGAAGCACTGTTCGTTGTCATCCTCATTCCATGCACAAAGCTGCCTGCCAGTCACGAAAATGAACTGCAGTAGCTCCGTAGTTGCGTGCAAAAGCTAATTATAGAAACGTCTTTCTTTCAGGAATAAGCTCTGATAATATGTCTTTGTTTATCCCCCATAACATTTTATATTTCACTGTCTCAACTGGGATGTAGGTCTCCCTTCACAAATCTGGACCAGTGGTTGAAAGTATAGGCCAATTATAATTATAATTTATAACTGAGTATTCCTACACTGTGGTATTTCTACTTTTACTTAAGGATTTAAGGGTTTCTTCCAAAACAGAAAATTGCATTGTGGTATAATGAAATGTTATAACACAGCAAAGAAATGGTCCCCTTTTTAACAGGTATAGACACTCTGAGATCATTGTTTTATAGACACATGATATTGGCATTGGGAGAAACTGGATATCAAACAGAGCACTGGATAGCTCAGCACACATCAGTCAAGATACAAAGGTCAAACAATAATATCAGCTTGATAAAGGAAAACCATCACTAGAACCATTAACCAGACGTGTGATTTCTTTTTTTGATTCCTGGGAATTCATTCTTCATATAAATCACAACTTCCAAATGCTATATGTTAAAATTTAAAGCCACATATGCAATGCACATACAGTCTGAATCACTCAGAAAATATTACTGCATGTTATATCACTGCTGCCACTGTACCAACCACTAGCACTAAAAGATAAACAAAAGCTTTTATAATGTCATTAACTCACTTAAGTGAAAGCCATACATGTGAGGATTGTGGATGCCAAAGAGCACTACCAGAGTCTAGAAATGCTGGCATCTTTTGGTTAAAAGTAATTAACTGTGTTATCCCAAGAGAGTCATCTATTATCAAAGTAATTTAAAATAAATGCAAAGAATTTTTAATTATAATTTATTAAGTGGGCTGGCATCTAAGGTAGAGTGAAAGTCAGTCTCCCTATGAAATAAGAAGTAGTATTGTACCATACAGTATAATAATAGTCTAATATCTTAACCTTGTAACCTAGACTTGGTAAAAATCAGGTCAACATTATTTAAAAATCCCTTAACAGGGATCCCAGAACTGATACTTAAAACATGCCTAAGGATGGCTGGCAACATAAAAAAATTTCCACTCATTCACAGCTCCAACTTCTATCTTCTGTCTTCTTCTATCTAATGATAGTGTTAGCACATGATGTGCAGTGATGCTTCTGTTCAATCAACAGGCATTTAAGTGGCACTGAAATCTGCACTGTGATTCAGTCCGGTAGGCTGTACAGGAACCAATGCCATATTGGCACCTGGTTTCGGTACCCAACCCAAATATCAATACATGCAAATTACAACTGGATGAAGTCTTACAATCACATAAAGCCTTGTGATTATGATTTGTGAGGTAGTGGAAGAGTTTTGTCTTTGACTCTTTAGAACGAGAAGAACCAAAAGGTTAAATGTTTCACAACAAACACTATGCCCTCTGCAGGTCATAAGGGATGTGCTTACACAACTCTGCAAGCGCGCTTGTCTGCTTTGTGTGTATAACACTTGTGATGGAATAAGTACTCTGTTTCTTTATTCAAGTAAAGTAGCAAGACAAGTGTATAAAAAACTAAAAGTAAATAAACAAATTAAATTCATTAATAAATTACTAGAACCAGTGCAGACCAGGCGTTTTTGGGCCCTCAGGGTCTGGCCTCCTCAGGCAGTTTATCCCTCTAGTTAATTCAACCTTTGTTACATAACATAAACAATATTAGGCTGCATATTAAGTCTTGTTGATGAGGAACCGTGAACAGTGTCGTTAGTCACAATGTTAGCATTTTTTTTACAGCTACATCCTCCACTCCACTAGGTGGCGATAGCATAATACCAACTAGCAAATTCGAAAAGAAAACATTTCAGATAATCTCTGCATGCATGTAAAATAAACTCAATTATAAATATATAAAAGATAAATACACAATGAATGGTGTGAAATATATTAATGAATAACAAATACACAACATATAAAAAGAGGTTATAGTCGATTAAATAAATCCACAGACAAGCTAGACCCTGAAGAAGAACTCCGTTGCCTAGCTACCTGCTAGCGACCAGTTGGCCTGTAGCATCAGCTAGCTAGCTAGGCGATCTACTAACACATTGATTATACACTATAAAATAGTGAATAAATGCCACCAAAAAGAAAAGGACTATTGCAACTTGCCCAAAGAGAAGTGGACGAAATAAAAAAACAGGTTTGTTATAAGATAGTGGGGAATTATTCGTGGTGATGTGATAAACTCCACTGCAGCTGAGTAACGTTGACTAAACCATTTGGAAGTGAATGTTACAGCAGCATTAGTTAACTATGAATAGACAAGGTTTCCAAATAAAGGGATCCTATGGCTTGGGGTACAACAACTCCGTTTATGGGGGATACTGTTTGACCAATTTTATTATAACAGCTGTAACGTTACCTTGTACTAGTATAAACAACTAAAGCCGAATCAGGTTTGGTTGTCATAAACTAAGGTGATTTAGCAAAAGTAGCTGAAGTGCTTTTTAAAGGATGAATGCATGGCAAAATTTCTATCTATCATTTTAACTTAATGACTTGCTCAACGACGTACTCAGTCAAGAAGCAGGGACACATTAAAATGGCCTTATTTTTGAAAGAAGGCTGGTGTGCAGCCACATTGTAAAATGTAAAGGTATCAACTTTTGGGCTGTGTAGTTCAGCTTTAAAGGCGCATTGTTGTCTGCAGTCTTATATTCACTGTTGTTTAATCTCATTGTTCCAGGTTGACAGTCTGGTGAAGGATGTGCAGAGTCAGGTTGGATCCACTGAAGAGGCATTTCGGAGGTAAACAGCTCAGAGCCATATTACTTACTGTAATTCCAATTAAGACTTGGAGCCTCACCTCACATATGTAAATTTGTCTAATCACAAACAGATGTCAGGAACTACAGTTGGTGGCTGAGAATGAACTAAGGACATTGAAGAAACTGACAAAGGTTAGCACTGTGCAGTTACTGTACTGATAGTACTGCACTGTCTGTAAACTTATAAAGTGTGCTGAAGTCAAATTTTCTTTTTTAATTGAGAGGTGTTTTACAATTTTTCTAGATGACGAAGACTGCATAAGACCAATACTTGTGTCTGTACCATGAAAATTCACATTATTTCTGGCCTTAAATAGGCATGATTTTCAAATAGAAAAATCACTGATATGGCATTTTAATCATACTGGGGTTTTCGGGATGGCCGCAGGGGTTATTTATTCACTGACAGGAAAATCTTGAAATATAAAAAATAGTCGTTTAAATAATAGATATAATACTAGTTTCAAGTAAATTTAAATGCCACAAACAGATTAATACTGTAATGTCTCACTACATCAGTGTAAATGTGCTGCATTGTATATTGTTCTGGTCTTTTAAAGGAGAGTGCCAAACTGGCTAAGGTGATGACATATTTACTGCTTGACTTGCTATTAGGCTGATGAGCTGGCTCCAGTGGGAAATTATGATCAGAGGAAGCAGGAAGAGGAGAGACGACTGCAGTACATCTTAGAGAATCTGAACACGCTGTCTCTGGAGCTTTCACCACCAGGACCCAGTACTGCTGCAGGGTTAGTAACCTTTGTGGTCACTACAAAGAAAAAAGGAGATATGATAAAGCTCATTTCCAATCATGTATATGTTATCTGCTGCAGTGGCTCCATGTCCCATGTACAGTGTATCCACTGTAAAGGGGTTGTGCAGAAACATTTTCAAAGCATCAGTTTAAATTGATCACATCCAGTGCATTTGAACCTTGAAGCTCAGTGGGCTATAGCAGTTACATAATCTCAATAATTCAAAATTATTATTTAAAAATATCTTTTAACATTATCATGTTTTGATTCACAGCAATGTTTCAAAGGAAAATAGTGAGGAGGAGGAGGAGGAGGAGGATGAGGATGAAGATAGTAATGATGACGATGTTGATAATGTTGGCAATGATGACAAAGATGAGAAGAGAGCAGTGAAACCACCTTCTCAGTCAGACCCTCGCATCTACACAGTCCTCAGTGATTTCAAAGGAGAGCAGGACGGAGATCTGTCTGTTCAGGTGCAGTACTTCTTGTTTCAGAGACCAAGATATTGTATTTTGAAAAGTAGAGTGAAGGGATGCTACAGATTTGTGCTCTTCAATCCTGGCTTTTTTGTGTAATTAAAATCACTAGTCCTACTCATGGGACTGACTAAAAGGTAAAAAACATTTTGGTCGACAGACAATCATTAGCACAACGTACAGACATAAAAAAAGTTATCAGACTATCAACAAAGGCCAGTCAGGCTGAGACTTTTAAAAGTCGGTCTATTAGTGGCTTGAAGCTAAAATTGGGTGACAAATTATTCTACTCAAGCAAGCCTGTTTAATTTAAAACCTTGCTTGAACCAGGGTTCATGCATTGTAAGTGGCCTTTGTAAATTCTGCATATTCCTGAATACTGAAGGTATGGAAGAAATCTGAAAATCTTTCCACCATTCCCCAACACTACCAACATGTGTGAAATCAAATATTCCTGACAAGCTTGTCAGCTGCATCCTTATTTAATTTTAAGCATTCATTTGCCATGTGGCATCTGATTTAATGTGCTTGACCTACTTGTCATGACTTGAGTGTTTCTTTTAATTTAAAAAAGTAAATCAAAAGTCTGTTTCTGATGACATGACCCGTGCATTTCGCTGCTTTTTTCAGAGGGGGGAGGTTTTAAGGATCATCAGGAAGGCAGCGGATGGATGGTGGCTGGCTCAGGACACTAAAGGCAACAAAGGAGTGGTTCCAAAAACCTACCTGAAGGTACACAACCTGCTGAAGGTTTGACTGTTACTGTTCATTTAGACAAGTATTCATCTAAAAATACAGCTGTACAGCTTTTGCAGAACAACCTTTCAGTAACAAGTCTATTGCTGTTTCAGATTGGCTCTGGTGTTGAAGATGATAATGACGATGAAGATGATGGCATTGATGAAAGGGATGGTGATGATGAAAATGAAGAGGAGGAGTCAGAGGTGGAGGAGGAGGGAGAGCAAGATGGTGAAGAACTAACTGATGACCAAGACAAACAGAGGTTCAACTTTTTAAACAGTTCTTAATGACACATGTTTTTGGATCTGTCTTTGTTCAGAAGGACCTTGTCAATGGGTTTGGGTTCTTTGAGCCAGAAGGACCTTGTCAATGGGTTTGGGTGCTCTGAGCCTGATTCTGTATTTATCCTGATGACCAACAGCTAGTTATGGCAGTAACTTTATCATTGTCCTCTGTTCTTTGACAGCGGTGCCTCACATTCTCATTGGTCCACTGTCAGAAAGTCTCTGACTGAGGTAAAACTACACAATATATACACAAGAATTATAACTACTAGAACTGATGCTGCTGATACTGCTATATATTTACAGTTTTTACTGTGCATGTGTGTGTGACAGATTGATGCAACAGATGTGCTCTCAGCCATGGGGGCCATACCTTCAGGATTCAGACCATCGACTCTCAATAAACTGCTGGTGGAGGAAGGTCATTATACACTTTGTCTTCATTGTCAATTAATCTGTCAATAATTTTCTCAACTCATCAACTTCTGATTCTGTTGAAATGCCAGAGAAATGTGTATATGCAGGAACACATTTCTTGTTTTGTTTGACCAACAGTTAAAAACTGAAACCCAGACTCATTTAAATATCACATGTGTCAAAGAAGAGCGGCAAATCGTTGTGTTTGAGTAGTTGGAATCAGAGAAAAACAATCGAATGAATTGACTATAAAAAATGTTGCTGGTTAATTTTTGGTTGATGAATTGAATCATTTACATATTACAGTATATTATAAAAAATGCCTTACAAAAGCTTAAATTAAATATATTGTAAAGCATTTCTGTTATTATAAAGCATTTCACCACCTGTGTTGCATTTTACTAGCTAGATATATTTGTTTGTAACAACAATCAAAGAGCAACAGATTTGTGTGAGTTTCTCACAGTTTGTACCACCACCACTACACTGCTATCAGTGGTGCCAGTAACTCTTTAAAGAATATGGTATGATTAAAAGGTAAAGCATAACCATGGGTGTTTTTCTAGGTGCAACATACAGAGGAAGTTACTATATTCAGCCTGAGCTCAGCCAATCACAGCTCTCCTTTAGAGACCTCTTTCTGGACCCAGTCACTGGCAGGGTGAGACTGTCCCTGTGTGTGTGTGTGTGTGTGTGTTCTTCAGTATATCTGGTGCATGATGAATAAAGATGATGTTTCTCACATCGCACAGCATCCAGTCATGGGCATGATCTCTTGACAAAAGCAGTTTAGATGTCTTTCACTGTGTTAATCTCCTGTCTTGTAGGTTCGTGCTCGGCAGGTCAGGACTTGTGTTTGTTTCGCTTTGTGGAACTGCAGGATGATTCCTACTCCTGGGGTTGGAGTTCAGGTCCTCAGCAGACACATCCGCCTCTGTGCCTTTGATGGAACTCAGGTATCAGGGATATATTTGTTGTATATGCAGACTGTTGCCACATTGCTTTTCCTTACCCTACCTGAGGGTCTGTAGAGTGGAAACAGTTTAATAAATCCTGTTTAGTTCTTCATTAATAGATGCAAAGTCACCTGTGCTAGATTTTTATTTGTAAAGTAGGTGTATTACATGAGGTGATTCATCTCCTTGATTAGTTTATTGAGAAGAATCATGTATCAGACCCTTATGACAACTGAGGAAAAGTATGAAATTATAATATATTGTTAATAAGACTAGACTTTCTTTCTAAATGAGCTGTGTTTGTGTTTCAGGTGTTGAGTAACATCCACACCGTGAGGGCAACCTACAACTCTAAAAGCCCCAAGACTTGGAGCTTCTCTCCAAAGGTAAGTCTACAGCTTTGTGAACTGTGCCCAAACTACTTCTTGCACTTAAAATCTAATGGTTGTGACTGAGATGAAACACTACAGTTTTCCTAAATCTGCACCTGAAAACCTAAAAACACAACCAGAACATTGAAGGTAATCTTATGCTTAAAATTAATTTACATATGAAATCCAATGTAAGTGTGTGTGCATTTGCTCCAGATGACAGGTATGCTACCCACACTCCTGGATGGGGACTGTTTCCTACGCTGCAACTCTTCGTCTCCTGACCTAGGGATCCTCTTTGAACTGGGAGTCACCTTTATACGGAATGTATGACAAACACACACATATGGATACACGTATTACAGTGATGAGAGTGAGTCGGTGCAGGAAAATGTCTGTTATACGGAATGTATGACAAACACACACATACGGATACACATATTACAGTGATGAGAGTGAGTCAGTGCAGGAAAATGTCTGTTGAGACCCTTTTTTGTGACTGAAGACAAAAAAAGACATTGCCTTTTTAAAAATGGATAGTTGCTAATAAAGTAGAGAATGTTTGGGAAAGAGCTATGTCTACTATTTTCGTGTGTGTGTGTGCGTGCTTTAGTCTACAGGTGAGAGAGGAGACCTGAGCTGTGGCTGGGCTTTTCTCAGACTGACTGATGACTCTGGAAATCCACTCCCCAACAGGTGCACACACATACAGATAAATCAACACATAGAGTGCACAAAAATATGCCAGTAACACAATTTTGTATATGTATATGTTTATGTAGCCAGCCAAACACTGTACATGCACAGAATATGTACACATTTTTTCCAGTCATCTATTATTTCCTTTATGTAAAACCCGATTGAATAACTGTGAAAATGAAATCTGTCACATCTATCAACTGTATAAAAAGGACAAACTTTAATAATTCCACACTAAATCTAATTTAATCTGATGTGTATGTAGGACGTATGAGCTGCCAGTGAATGGAGGAACTCCCTATGAGAGGGATGTAGCAGTGGAGACTTCAGTGACCAGAGGATGTAAGAAGACATTTGTTGCTACCTCAGTCCAGTCAAAAAAAGTCTTTGGCAGATGTGTGACTATAAAGGATCATATACTATAAAGGATCATATAAACTTTGTGTGGAAAAAACAAATAAAAAGCTGGAGTTGAGAGGTTACAGTGTATCTCCTCTCCTCTCAGCTTCAGTTGGTGTTTTCCAGCAGATGCTTCAGGCCAGACGGCAGCCCAAGCTGGTTGTAAGGATGAAATCAGCCAACAGTCGGACCAGAATGCAGCTCAGGTGGGAAGGCCGGCAAGAAACAGCTATCACAGTGCCTGAGCACATGCAGTGGCTTATGTGATGTAATGCAGTATCAATGAAAAATTACCAGATTTATTTGGAGACCTTTGTGGCTCTGCTCAGTCACATGAATATGTGTGTGTGTTTATATTAGTGATAAGTATGCATTCCCATTCAGTCTCCTCCCAGACACTCTGCTGCACTGTCTGAGCTGCGTCCATTTGCTGGCTCTACACAGACAGCTGCTAGCTGACACACTACTGATGGACAGGCCTACCATGCAGAATGCAGGTAACACATGCCTTTAATGCCTCTTATCCAAATTACAGACATTCATCATTCTTAGAAAGGATTCTGTTTAAGTGACATTTCTCTCTGTTTCAGATCTGATATGCAGCCCTGTACTTTCTACCTTCCCTGTGCTGTTGGATCAGCCAGATCTGTTAGATGCTCTCAGGGTCAGTAACATGGTTGTATTTGCGCCTGGTTGCTTTTCTAATGGGATTATAGATGAAAGTGTTTCAGGGTTAGTTGTTTTTCAAACAGGTGGAGCCACGTGATCTGTCTAAATCCTGAATAGAGCTCTTTTACATATATCATTCATCAGTTTGTCAAATAAAATGATTTGATGTTTCCCTTTAGGGTGCCTGGCTGGATGCTGAGACCACTATGAGCAGAGCACAGAAGGTGAGTGAGTGTGTGTAATATCTGTACAGACCTGTAGAGGATGCTGTCAGTATGAGCAACCTGGTGACTTCTCGCTACCAAGAAGTTACATTGTGTTTGCGTGTGCATCCAGTGCAGACTGCTGATCAGGTGTGTGTATAAACTGTTCCTTCCCGTCTGTGTGTTTGCAGAGAGATCTGTCTTATCTGAAACAGGAGTTTGTTAAAGTCTACTTGTCATCCGTCTATTTCCTCATCCACTCACCTGCGCTGCCCTGTCATCGCTGGGCAGACCCTCCCTCAGAGGAGCATCGGGCCAGAATCATCTACGCCACGCTGGGTTCCCTCAAACACAGCCAGTACACCACCGGCCATTCAGGAGGCCCAGAGGTCTTTGTTGACCCCCTGCACCCACAACTGGCCTTTGATGTCACAGAGTTGACCTTTGACCTCCTCCGTGTGGCACGGTAATAATAACATCACATTTAGAGGGAAGGTACAATTTGATTGGAGTTGATTCATTTATTATCTTTATTCTAGACATCAGTTTGGTTTCATTTAAAATAATAACACCCTATTTGTGCCATATAAGTAAATTTCAAAACATTTTAAAAATGTGTTAACTAATCCCATGAAAACCAGTAACGTGTTCGTCCATTTGACAGTACTTTTCCACTGTGGCTGTAGCTTTAAGCCCACTGCTTGTTACTGAATATAGAAATCTTAAACAATGGCTCATGAATAAAAACTTGAATTTGAAACAAAGAAGGTGAAATACATTTCTGCAACACCTGGGCAGTGTGGTTTATAGCAAATGTTACTCATACATGAGTAGACTGTGCATTTAACTCTGTTAAGGTGCTGAATAATACATAGTTGGTACTGCAGTGAATATGTACAGGAACAGGACGGTGTACTGTGTGTGTGATTGACTCAGAAGAAACTTCACAGTGTTCATGTTCTCTATTTGAAGGAGCATGTCACATGTCATATACAGACATCCCTATTCAAACTCAGTTCACTGTTAGCTTTTGTCTTTTCAGGGGATTTGCTGACAATAAGGAAATAGAGAATATCACCACACTTATCTTTCATATTCCTAATGTGCTAACACATACAGTGCATACACAAAGGGATCTTTGAGTCTTGTGATTGCATGAGACAGTGGTTATGGCTAATGAGACTGCCGATTGTCTGAATAGGTGTGAAATGAAATGTTGAGAAAATGTGGACAATGGAAAGATTTCAACAAAGATCCTTCTTTAATCATTAAGTTCATACTGCTTCTCTGACAGCAAACACTACATTTTTCTTTGTGCTGAGACCAAAATTGATTCCTATGCTATTTATTGCCAAGTTTGGTTGTGTTTTCTAATAAACATTCTGTTAAAATCAGCTCTTAATGTGTTACAGATTTTCATATAGTTTTTTTTTTTTTCAACCCTGTCATCTGAGTGGTCACTGAACTCCATTCATCTCCACCCGTTAGTACAACATCAGTGATGTGTGTGTCTTTGTATGTGCAGTGTAGGGTTGCAGTGCATAGGAGTTGTCTTCAAAGTTAATAATTAGTCTGCTGTCGTCTGTTTATAGCTTGGTATAAAAGAGTGGGAACAGTGAGACGCCGGATCAGTCTGGGCACAGACAGGCTCAGATTATCCATCTGCTGTGGTTTCACATATAAAGTAACACTTACTATTTGGATGAATCTTAACAATGACAATAGTTTAGCATGTAACAGTAGAGTTACACATCACTGTTAGCATTACATTCACTGAAATTATAATCAAATGGTCAAAATCTTTACAAGGCATGAAAATTGTTTTATCCTTTAAAAATCTTGGGTCATAACTCAGACTTCTGAAAATGTTAAGTGTTATATCTTTTTAATAATGATCTTACAATGAAAAATGAGCCTGTATTTAAATTGATTTATCATTTCCATTGTGGCCATTATGATATAAAGATGGCAAGAAATGTTCCTTTAAACTCACCTCATATCCCCACCAACACAATCTGACACTTAAAGGAACAGTTCTGGTTTTTGTTTAGCAATATATCAGATAAAAATACAAGTACTGTATATTGCTTATCAATTTGGTAATTGTCCTACTCTGTTCTGCTGGAATTCTTTTAAACTAAAGAATTACACAGGACATGCTGTTAAGAAAGGCTCTGCATTGTTACAAATGTCAGTGGGATTTGGCACGAGGTTTTCTTACTTCTGGAACAGAACCTTGTTTCCAGTCTTTATGCTAAAATGTCAAACTATTGCACTCTAGGAACATTCATGCCCATCACCATGTTTGTGCTATTTATGCTAACCTACTAACATCCTTTAACCCTAAAACTAACAAACATTTATCACAGAACTTAAGCTCTAACCTTCCAAAAGCCTTTTGTGGACTAACAAACACATCATCACACCCCTAAAAAAAGATAACTGGGCCTCAAAGTGCGTGCACACAAACACAGTGAGCCTTTCTGTGTGCAGTGCTTGCTGCTGAGTAATATTGCATAGCTTGTATTTCCACATTACGGCACTGCTGCCATGGCGATGGTGCCTGTAGCGACCAACTGGCGTTGTTTAGAGTTGAAAAGCGGGTTGCCATCAGGGTAATAGTAATAGAATATTTAAAGGCTGAAATACAATGGGGTAAAAAAAAATCTTTGCCAAATTCAGGTGAGACAAGTTTCCTGTAGAAACTATGAGAATAAAATGACTGTTCATTAAATTACAGTACATTACACAAAAACAAATTTCTTATACTTCCTCTTTGTATCTTATTGTTACCTTGCTACAACCAGTTTTGTCTGGAAAAACATCAAACTGAAAGATGATTTACTTCTTCGATTATTATTTTATATTTACAGCTTTTAAATTATGTCTTGATTTGAGCATGACTGGAAAGGTAACATTATTTTACAGAACCATGACGTCCCATTCATTTCTCTGAAGAACCAAATAATTTGGTATTAATTATAGATCAAATGATCAGTTGATACATTGGTAGTTATTTTTAATTGCTAAGCTAGCACAACCTGAAGCTGAGCATGCAAAATGTGAAATATACCCACAAACATAAAATTCACCACAAATGACCAGTCAAAACGTTTACATAAACAAATGTAAACAATTACATACAGGTGAGGACAGTAACTTAAAGGCAGATTTTAAAACACGGCTCTTCTGCAGATCAGCGAATACAGAGTGGAATGATACTCAGCCACACATGAGAAACCTGTTGTTGTTGCCTGTAAACACTAAGATGTTCCCTGAGGTGGAGGAGGAAGAAGAAGAAGAAGAGAAGGAGGAGGAAGAGCAGCTCAGGACCAGTTGAGTAGGAAAGTGGGCCTTCCCAGGGAATTGTTATATACCAGAGCTGGAAAGATGATCCAGAAAGTCAAGGAAGTTTGTTTTCTACTTGTTTAAATAAGTAAACATTCATCCATTACAAGATACACTCAGTTGTCAGTTTATTAGGCACATCAAGCTATTAAGACACTCAGTTGTCAGTTTATTAGGTACATCAAGCTATTAAAAGTCCCATCATAAAAATATTGTCCCAGCAGTGAAGTACAGTGGAGGAAAAAGCAAGTCCCCAAAATGTGTGTAACCGGATCCATAGTGAAGGCCAAGCTGTGCCTCTTTCCTTACACTGGGCAAAAAGAACTAGTTGGCTGGCTGGTGAGTGTGATCCTGTTTCTCTGTGTATGTGTGTTAAGAAGGCAAAACATCCAAAACACAAACTTCCAGACCCCCTTTCCCTGCATCACATGACCCCTTTAATCAATAAAGTTGGGCAAACGAGAAAGGTACAAAAAGAAAAGAAGTCATAAATCTTATTACCTTTTCTCATTATGCTTCTAGCATGGTGTTACTGCTGCTATCATCTTACATTTATCAGCTTGTGTTCTATCAAAGCCTCGTGTATTGATCTTTATTATATTATTTTGAACAGGTTTTCATGGGTAGATCTCAAATATAATAATTTGCCAATACAGCATGAGCTGACACCTGTTAGATTGTCACTGTTTCAGTATTTTGTTTTATATTTTATCCTTTACCTTCAAAGTTTTTGCTTCCTAGTATGTTAATCACCTCTGCATTTTATGCGTTGCTCACTGAGGTGTGATGCCTTTTTATGTTACAACGTTTAACCACTCTTACAGGAGAGCACTGTTTTCTCATTACTGGTGTTTATTAGTTCAGTGGCCTTCTCTTACATTGTCATCCAGTTCTTATCTTGACTCATCATTAATTTATATTCTTTATTAAGACAATATTTTGTTTATAGTCATTTATTCATGTTTCAGTTTTATCTCTATGGAAAAAGAAAAGCTTGGTGAGTCACTTAGTGAAAGATTGTGCTTCTGTGGTTTTAAGAGGAAGTATGACCCACTTATTTGCGGTGCAGGTATTGACAGGATGTAACACCTTTAGATCAACGGTTGGAAACTTTTTGATTTGGCTGGTTTCTGGTGAAATGATACATGAGCCACAAACTGCAGCTTCCTGCACAGCAACAGCACATGTTCTAGGGCAGGGGCTCCAGTTCAGTGAACATTTATGTATAATAACCTCTGACCGGGATGAAACAAGGTTCTTTTTTGGTACCTTCAAGTGGACTGACACTGACGGACAGAGACTGAGACCAATGCTAAATAGCTCAGATCTTTGTCTTAGTGAACATTTACCTGTGAAATAAATCTCTTCACAAATTAGTAGATTTTTCTCTGGGCTCTTTCTTCAACAGCACCTCAGGAGGTTTTCTCCTTTAGGTTTCTGAGTGTGACCGGGCCAATATACAGGCCTGTGCAACCCAGACACTAATATGTTTCAGTAGCTCTCAAAGAATATTGTCTCTCCTGTTTCAAGAGGTCACATTCTTCCAAACACACAAGCATCAGGTTACCACACCCAGATGTAAGTCCGCAAACACACAGAGACGTTGGTTTTGTCCACAGAAATAAGGATTTATTAGAGTCAATGTACAAGTTAACTGAGACAATGTTTAAAAAGCCCTAACCCCAGAAGCTAAAATACTATGCTTAGGACGTTACTCTCCACTCAATTAATACAGTGCAGAACAGGAATAAAAAAATGGTCAGAGGTCTACAGGTTAGAAAAGACCCATAAATAAACATCACAACAATCAATCCAAACCAAACCCAAACCAAACATAAGAGGGTCTTGCCTCCCTGCACCTCAAACCATTTACATACGTCTCATACACCATAAAACTTGGGTACTATACAAGGAATAGGAAATATAATGCTGAGTAAGCTTCTTAACATAAAAGCACACAAAACAAAAGTAAGCAAAGCAAAGCAGCGGCTATCACTCCTTGGCTGCACGTCACTCTAGCACAACATGTGCGATGGACGCCAACTTCTGCAGGATCACCCCTGGAGAGCATGTGGTAATCCCCTAAACAATCTACAAACAAAACAAACTGATTAAACACTTTACACCGCAACAGATCCAATATACAGTCAGTTCGTTGGACATACCTCAAAAGACAGCAGGACACAGAGCAATAGAGGGAGATTCACTTCAAAACAATCACAGCAGCGACCAGCACAGGAATTGCTTATTGCATCAGCTTCTCCAGGGATGGTATTTATATCCATAATCAACCCAGCAAATTGCTCACTCGGCGGTATAGACGTGGCCAACTTGCCGGTTTCAGGAGGTTCCCCTCAGTGGGAAAGGCCAAAATTCTGAATACAGAAAGAGTATGTTGGTGCTTTAATCTCAGGGGTAGCCTATAGGGGATTTATACTTTAAGATCAATAGGACATTTATTTCAGAATAATTGAAACTAATGGTGACTTATGGACACAACTATTCAGAACAGTGCAATTTTAACCAAGTAGCATTGTCCAAGGACATTTTGCACAAACTCTGAAGATCACAATTGTTTGACAAACACTAGTGAGGAAAATTACTCTCATGCTATTTGGGATAGTGTAGAGTAAGTCATAGTTGTTTGACTTAGGCACCAAGTAAAATAGTCTCTGATGCTGGTGCCTAGTTACACTTTCCTATGTTTACTTAATATGTAAACAGTACATTTATATTATAGTGTTTGTGTGTGTGTGTCTGTTTGTCCGGGCAGCTTTATAATTCACCATAGGAGAAGATAACATAAGCCATTAAACATCCCATCAATTGATTTATAAGCTCTTAAAGTAAACTGTTAATGAACTGTTGAAGAATCAGAATTTTGATGGGTTAGTCACAAAAGTGTCCATTCACAGTAGGCCACCATCTTAAAAGGCTGCTCTTTTGAGTTTGACTTTTATTATTTTCGTGAGTTAAAAATATAATAATGACATGAAAAAAGCAGAACAACTGAAATGAATGTGCAGAGAGGGGACCAAAGCTGTTGGACTTGAACAGGTTACGAACCATTATTTCCAGTTTGAAACAAGAGCTGCTGGAAGTCCAGCTTTCCTGACAACCTACCAATTTGATTTTTGTAATTAGCAAGAAAAGCAACAGACAGAAACAAAGATCTCATACACATATTATCCAAAGCTAAAAGTTGTCACGCACATTCTGCACAGTTTGACAGGTGATCTCTGCAGAGTGCAAAGCAGAAACACCACAGTGGGAAGCCACGAATTCAAACTTGCATGATGTTGTTATTTAGTTTGTGACAGTGCAGCAGACACTGACAACAGAGAGTGGTCCACTACACAATAGGTTTTGTGCATTGTGCAGAGTTTTAATCCCTCAGCATGGAGACCATCATGCTGTATTTGGCACTTTGACTGGGTAACACAGGGACTAATTAGTACTCACACATAACTCTCATACTGTGACTCACTGCTGGCTGACATTTGTTATTTCCATTATACTATAAATGAAATAAAGATTCATTTTAAAGCTTTAAGACATATAGCCTTATACAGTAGGTAATGTTACTGTTGTTGCCAGAAGTTGCAGTGTGAGGAGTATGAGAGTGAGAAGACCGCCACATGGTGCAGACTCCTTTTACCTGCAGCCACGGGTGGGGAAAATTCCACCAGTAGTCAGTGTATAGACAGGAATGTAATGCAGCTACAATGGGCGGGAAAGGCCACATGCAGTGTTCATGTTACCAAGACTGAATAAAGCCTCTGTTTTAATAAACAGAGTTAGCCGGTCTCCCTCTTCACTTCTCCCCACCAGAAAAACCCAAACTTCTAAGGCTAGTTACCAGCTACAAACCAGGGCTAGGGCAGTTTAACCATGAATCAGAGCTTCCCAGCTACGGTGTGGGGCCACAAATCTGGATGGATAACACCATATTTGACAAAGTTACAACTAAAGAGATTTTGCTGCGAGAAGTAAAATCAGAATTAACATTGGCGTGGCTTTTCAATGACGGCGACAACAGAGAACAAACGGTGGCCGTATTTCTGCTGGGCAGGTTTGATTTGATTTGATTTTGATTTATTTATTCTTTCAAACATGCAGAACAATGACAGCAACACACACATAATTACACAAATCCAACCAATACTAATCCAGAATCAGTTTGCTTATACCTAGTACATGTTTGAATGGAGTAGGAAGAAGTCAGACTTATCCAGTCCTACCCCATAACATCATCTTATTCATGCATCATTGGCTGCAAGCAGTATCTCTACATAGGTAATTCTCTTCTTCACCAGACAAGTAATACACAGAAATTTTAAAACAGAGTGTTTCCTTCATGCATTC